GGGTGGATTCCTGCATGGCCGCCAGAAGGAGCCCATTCTGCCAGACCTTCATCTCAGACCCCTGGACCCCAGAGCTGGGGGACAAGAAATTGCTACTGTGTAATTCCCAGCGTGTGCTACTTTGTCTCAGCAGTCACAGGAAATCCAGGAAACACAAGCCCTCACGAAAGTGTTAAGCTGTCCCCTTCCCCAGTTTTCTTCTTCCGAGGTACTGGGGATTGAACCCAGAGCCTTCACAAGAGCTACATGCCCCACCCTTTTTATATTTATTTTGAGGCAGGGTCTTGCTTTGTCAGTAAATTCCCTGAGCTGGACTTGAACCTACAATCCTCCAGCCTCAGCCTCCCAAGAGTGCTGCAATTACGGGTGTACCCTTCACCTGGCTCCCGTGTACAACAGGAACTAGTGAGACAGGTGTTAGGATTCTCTTAGGCAGCAAGGACAGTGGCCCCAAAAGGAGTCTGCTGACTCCTAGCCTCCAGGGACCTCACACAAGCCTCTGTGTCCTTGGCTGCGTGAGACCACAACCCCCAGCCCCCCGCAAGCGTCATCCATGCGCTCCAGAGCACATCAGCACTGCATCCCTGGGACCCCAGGAAGCCAGTCTCCTGTTATCTCCAGGTTGGGTCTGAGAGATTTCCAAAGCTGAAATAAGGAACTAAACTCACCCTTCTGTGGCAGGTTTGCTGACTTCTGTCACACGGATTTGTCACTGAGAGCTACACGATTAGAGAGTTAGGATGTGCTCAATAGTGCGTGCGCATTAGTTTGGAACCGGGAAAGTTTCTTTTCTTGAGGGGATGGAAAGCCTGGGAAAAAGTGGTCTCCCCACCCAGGAGTCCCACAGGCATGGAAGGTTTGTTTTGGATAGGTAATTCAAACATCCTGTGAGGTTTCTCAGCCTGCTCCTTTCATTGAACCGATTTATGGCCTTTTAGTGCTGGGTCACCTTGGGTAATTTCAGCTAAGCCCTAGAAGCTGCAGTCTTCTTAAAGTACCATTTTCAGTTCTGACTTCCTTGTCTCTACTTACCTTTTGCTGCTTCTGTCCCACTTCAGTACGGGGCCGAGGTCACAGAGGTTGCACAAACGCCCACTCCCTTCCAAACCCCTAAGATGCCTGGACACACAGCCCCAGTGGTTGTCCTGCTCAGAGCCCCTCCCAGCCAGTGAGAGCTCTGCTTCTTCATCTTTGTACCTATTTTTGTTCTTTTTTTTTTTTTTTTTTTTTTTTGTTTTTTTTTTTTTTTTTTTTTTTTGGTGCCTGGAATTGAACTCAGGACCTTATGCTTGCCAGGCAGGCACTTACACTGCTGAGCTATATCCACAGCCCTCGCCTTTGTATCTTTTACTTACTTGCCTTTATATTTTTTAAATTCATTAGCTCGTACCCTACCTCCTCCATCTGCAGTGTCAGTCTTCATCACTGTGGGACATGACCCCAGTGTTCTCACGCCACCTAACCTTTTTTTTGAGACAGGGTCTCACTATGTAGCTCCGGCTGGCCTTGAACTTGCAGCAATCCTCCTGCCTCAGCCTCCCAAGTGCTGGGACAACACGTGTGCACCACCACACCCAGCCCTTGCCCCATTAACAAACAGTTCTATCACCAATGAGCTCTTCTTGGTCATTGGCACACAGAAAACCTGAGCTGCACTAACACAAGGCTGACTTTGGATCAAAGTAAAGCACAAAATTATGGAGAAAGTTCATAAACACGTTAAAATTTTCATTGGTCATCTCACACATCCATCCAATGATACCGCACACCTGCAGTGTTTACTTCTTTATTTCACACTTTACAATGAATTTCATGTCTGGGCCTTGTCACACTAACTCCACAGCATGTTGTATGTGACAAGATGCTCAAAAGGCTGGCTATTCAGGCCTGTGTCACCAGATCCATGGCCTCTGACCTTAATATGGCCTTTGGCAGTTATAGAAGATGGAGTGTCTCTCCAAGGCGAAGTTGCTATTAGCACTCAACTGTCATAGGACACTCCCAAGTGCTGGCCCCATGTCACCACACAGTACCCTCAGAGAAGCAACGTCACGCTGCTGTGGCCACACCTCGCTGGCAGGGTGCCACGCTCAGAGCTGCATGTGTTGTCATTTTGATGCCACTTCTGCTACTGTGAGCACCTGCAGTCTCAGTCCCGTCCACGTCGGGCTTACTGGCCATCTGGAGTTCTCGGCACTGGGCAGCAAGACAGGGTGGGGGCCATGGCTGCTAAGGCAGAGGCAGGTGCCCTCATGGGAAGCCCAGTCTACATAGCACCAGGAAAGCTGGGAGCACGCTCCGGGTCTGGGCCAGCAGCAGAACTGAAAGCCCTTGCTGTCTGATGTAAGGCACCACAGGAGGCGGAAGGAGGGGCCTGGGTCCAGCCCTGATCCTGACCCACCGGTCCAGAGCATCCTTCCAGCCCTCTGATGACCTTCACACTCTGCCAGGCTCCTTTCTGAAGAGTGCTGACCAGGGAGAGCTCCCATAGCCCTCTGTTCACTCTCCTGCGAAGCAGGAAGCCCCACCACAGCCAGCGGCCGCTACACAGGAAACAGGTGCCCCATGGCCTGTCCTCCCAGACACACCTGCCTCTTCTTCCCCATCCACTGCGCCCAGCAGCAGCGTCCACCTGGAGACAAGATGTCTCGGCGCCTGTAACCTGTGGCCACCAGCACCCTAAGGCCAGGTCCCACCGGCAGAGATACCCCGATCAGGAGTTAAGGATGACCTGTACTGGCCTAAACTTTCTGTGTAGGTCCTGGCCCCTCGGACCTGTGAATGTGACCTTATTTGGGGAAAGTCTTTGAAGGTGCAGTGAAGATAAGGATCTTGAGGTGAAATCACCCTGGCTTATCCAGAGGGCCCCGCATCTGGGACACTGTGTCCTTATAAGACACAGACAAAGGGGGAGATAGGCACATGACCAGAGGCAGAGACCGGAAAGGAGGGGCCTACAAGCCAAGGAACACCAAGACTGCCAACAACTGCCCGAAGCTCGAGCCAGGCATGGGACTAATTCTCAGAGTCTGAAGACACAACTTGGGATGGGCATGGTGGTGCACACCTTTAATCCCAACACTGGAGAGGCTGAGGCAGGAGGATCATGAGAGTTCCAGGCCACCCTGGGCTACATAGCAAGATCCTGTCTCAAGAATAAAAAGAAAAAAGAAAAGGAAGAAAACTGAAGAAACAACTCGCCTTCAGTTTCTGATTTCCAAAACGTAAGAGAATGAGTTTGTATTGTTTTAAGCCACCAGACTAACAACCAAGAGTGCTCTTGCAGAAAAGTCACAAGACAGGAACTGAAATGCGGTATCCATGACAGAACCTGTCTGTGCCTTCAGTACTTTCCCAAAGGCCCGGATGGTAAGGCACGTGGGCTTTAGGAAGCAGAAAGGCTGCTGGCTGCCCCTGCAGACTCAGGCTGATGTCTACAGGCCTTGGAGCCTAAGTGGCCAAGACTTTCGCAGGCACACAGCAGGAAGCCCTGGGCGGGGGAGCACGGCAGGGCAGAGAAGGGGGCTCAGGGCCCAGGGTTAAGGATGCACGTGTACCGCAGGCCTTCCCAACTCCCAACTTCTGACTTCCTCCATGTACCAGAATGGCTCGGCCATCCTCCAAAGGCCCAGAACCTTGTGTACAATGAAGAATGCCACACTGTTCCCGATCTATGCGTCAGTGCCAACTGGCTTCCACTCACAAGGCCAGGGCGTTTGGGGCTGGTGGAGAACATGGCGTCACCAACTTCTAGAACATGATGGACTGTGTCCACCACCACCACCAGGCAATATATGCTAGGCAAAGGCGAGGGCACACTCGTACTTGCAAAAGTGTACAAGTTTCAATGACCCCTCCGGCAGACCACAGAGGGCTGGCAACTCCAAACCCAAAGCAGTGCAAGGGAGAAAATGGATCTGACTACAGAAACATATAAACCTCCGCCAGGCAAGGGTGCACACCTATAATCCCAGCACCCCAGGAGGCTGAGTTCAAGCCCACCCTGGGCTACAGAGTGAGACCTTGCCTCAAAAACACACAAAACCTTCAAGGCCAAAAACCACTGGCGGCAAAAGCAAAGTGGAAAAAGATGTATGCAATTTCTGTCATAGATAAGAAGTATTCTTACATAATAACCAAAGGGCTGCTAATAGAAAAACGGCTGAAAAATAAGTGCAGCCAGCTCACAGCCACAGAGTGAAGGGGCCCCAGCTTCTACTTACTCTTGCGGGAAAAGGGCCCTGCAGACAGCCGAAAGCCAGAGGTCCACCCACCCGTCCTCAGACACCACAGCTCCATCTCTTGGTCTCTACCCCAAAGGCATGAGTGGTTAGTGTGCCAGCATTTTCACTGCACCACAAACACTGGGACCGGCCCAAAGGCCCATCCACGGCACTGCCTCAACACCACGGGGCGGCTGCCAGGCGGGAGCCTCCGCCAGGAGAGGCAGCACTTGGGGCACGCGGTTGGGAAGACATCCAATCTTCAGAGCCCGTCTCATCCTGGACTCCTGGGGCTGGCAGAAGCAAGCGGTTCGGCAGACAGAAGGGAAGGAGGGGAGCAGAGAAGCAAAGGGCCAAGACCAGAGCCCTGCAGCTACCCACTGGGCCTACTCTGTGGCACCAGGTCCTGGCCTCTGGACTGGGAAGGGTGGCGGAGGTGGTAAGGCCCCAGGCGTGGCAGCGGCAGGCCCTACTCGATGCACTCCATGACGTGGATCTGCAGAGTGTCCATGTCAGGTGCCTGATACTGGCACTTGGGACAGCAAAAGTCGCGGGGCTCCTCAGGCGGACTCCTCCTCTGGTTGGGCATGTGAAAGGAGCGGTACCCTAGGGACAGAGAACGAGTGTCGGCTAGGTGTCAAGAGGAATGGGGGACGGTGAGGTGCCAAGGCGCTTAGCTACAAGGGTCCCTATCCACATGTGACCAGCAGCCACCAGTAGTATGACACGCCTCTTGAGGCAGGGCTGGACTCCTGGTGGGGGATCAAGAGCCACCCAATACACACCCACTCACCAGAGGCGGGCAGCGCAGACTGTGAGACCTCCACATGCCGCTTCCTCAGGTCCTCGATCCTGGGGAGATGCAAACCATTTGCTCAGTGCACACGCACAAAGAGCTCTGAGTTCCCCCAGCAGCAGCCATAGGCCCTGGGGGCGGAGGAGGACAGGAGAGGGACGGGGAGCACAGCACTGATCCCCACCTGGCTGACTCCTGGCAGCTGGTCTTGAGCTTGCTGAACTCACGCTGCAGCTGATCCAGCTGCTCCTGCAGTGCCTCCTTCTTCTCTGCCAGTTTCTCCCGGGCCTGCCGCTCCGCCTGGAAGTCGGCCTTGTAGATGTCCGCCTGGCAGGTGCGAGAGGGACGTGGCACTAGCCACCAGCCACAGGCTGGGAGCGGCCTGCTGGGCCCTGGGGACAGAGCAGAGCCCCTCCTCCCACCCCCAGCAGCAGAGGGTAGACAGACCAGCAAGTGACCCCACAGGCACAGAAAGGGAGAAGCAGTGTGGGCTTCACACTGAACACGAGGCCACAGGAGACGATGCCCAGAGAAAGGCTTCACCTGTGCTTTTAGGACCGGCACCGTCTCCATCAGCATCTTGTGCTGCTCAGCCTCCTCCTTCAGCTTGTCAATCACCTCCTGCTTGGCCACAAGGGCCTCCTCAGCCTGCTGCAGCTGCTGCTTCAGGTCCTCCAGCTGCATCCCCTAGGAGGGCCAGGGGTGCTGACACAGTGAGGATGGCGTCCAGAGCTGGGGGGGGTGTGTGAGGAGAGGCACGCATCCCACCCCCACCAAGGACAGGAGGAGGCAAGGTTCTCCTGGGGACACACCGAGATCTCAGGACTGAGGGGACCTCTGAGGCCATGGGACACCACCTCCCCCAGCACTCGTTCCCCTCAGATTTGCCAGAAAGACCTGTGGCCCTTCAAGGACAGGTGCCACCTTCCCTACCCTGCACGCACAGCTAAGCTGCCTCCTGCTGGTCCTCCACTCTGCTATCTGGGCAAAGCCCGCTCATCCCACAGGTGCTCCACACAGGTGCACATGTGCACTCTCCACAGAGACTTGCCTTTCCCTGGCAATTAAGCGGGCATTTTTATAACTAACTCCTCCTCCTGTGATCTGCTTTCAAGCTTAAGCCTTACAAATCTCTGGGTGCACTCACGTTAACACTGTCTTTCTGAAAGTCTAATCCCCAGAAACCACACACAATTTAGGTCTGGTGAGAAAAAAGCAGGACAGGGCTCCCACGCACCTTTCCATGCCAGGTTAGAAGCATTCCTCAGACTCACCTGGCTCGGGAAATCTGGCCTTGGGGACAAGCGTATCACTAGCCCTCCAGGGAGAGCATCCAAGGCCAGGGCCAAGCCAAACTGTGAGGGCAGCCAGCTGATGGACTTTCCTGAACCGTTGTATCCACACACTGTCCCCCACAAAAGCCAACTGTGTCGAGGTGACAGGAAGAGCCAAGGCCCACCCTGGATGGCCCAGGCTGCCATACTCACTCGCTTGCGCTCGCCGCTCACCATGCTACTTTTGATGTGGTTGTCGTACTCCTGGAAGAGCTGGTGATAGGCCACCTGCAGCTGGGCCAGCTTCCGCCTGTGGGAAAGGAGCTGTAGCTGGTCGCAGGCCTGTGTCCATCTCTCTTCTTATCCTTGTTACCTCCCAGATTCAGAAGGGAGCCTCCAGGCGTATAGCTGGACCCCTAGGGCCACTAACTCGGAGATAGGGCTGCAAGTGTCCCACAACGGACAGGGTGGCTTAGTTCATATCATTTTCCTTAAAGCCAACATTTTAAAATGTTTGCACTAGGGCGCAGGTGCGGGGCGGTGCCAGAGCCCTTGCCCAGGGTGCACAAGGCCAGGCACCAAGAAGATGACAAAGAAGTGAGATGACTCTGATCAAACAAACTCAACTTCAAAAGCATCAGCTTCATGAAATATGCAGAGGCAGAGAGGCCGTCCTGGATTAAGGGACACTGAAAAGGCAAGGCACATGGAGGGAGAGCAGCAGCACGGCCTCCAGGTAGATGATGCATGGGGACTGCGACACAGCCCAGGGGCCCACGCTGCACGGGACGGCCCCAGTGCCCACTCACTTCTCCTCCGAGGCAGCCTGGCGCTCCATGCGCAGCGCGGCCTCCACACTCTGGTTCTGCATGCGCAGCTGATCCACCTGCACACTGTGCTGCTGCTGCAGCACCTCGCGCTCCTTCTCCAGCTGCCGCGCCTGCTCACTGGCTGCCCGTGCCCTGCGCAGAAAGACGGGGCAACACTGAGGGCTGAGCTGGGGAAAGACACGGCCACCCCACATGCAAACTGGCACCCTCTGCACTGTGAGGAAACATAACGAGGCAGTGACGACCACAGTAGCGTCCCTGCCCTCTGACCTAATGTCCCCCTTACTGCTGCCACCAAACCCCTTTGCAAGGGAAGTGGCAGGCAAGTGTGAGGCCAGGCCAGCACTGCAGAGCCTCTTTTCCCCGCTGACAAGGGGGTTTGTTGGGGGGAACTGTGAGAGCCTTCTCCCAGGGGCCCGGCATCTCAGTGGGCACCGGGCACAGGGAGCCAATGTGACCTGCCTGACAGACAAGCAGGGATGACCACACAGCAGCAGTGCCCTCCATGGGGCTTCTCTGGTCTCCCTGGACCCTGCACCGGCACTGTATGGACCTCAGCCAGGATGGCGACCGTGCCAGGTCCTGGTCCTCCCAGAGATGTGCCCATGGCTCTATGGCTGGGGCCCTTGAAATGCCACTCACCTGGCCTCCAAAGCCTGGCGCTCCTTGGTGGCAGCCTCCAAGCGGCTCTGGCTCTCCTGGAGTTCCCCCAGCAAGGATGTCACCTGGGCTTTCACTGAAGCCTTGTCCTCAGCCATCTGCTGCAGGAATATCACTTCCTGTCAGCACTACTTTCTCCCAAGGCCTAGGGCAGCCCAGGGGAAGCTGAGGCCTGCACCCCTGAGAGCTGTTCTCCTGTACCCAACACTCCCAAACCCAGCACCTCGGGAGCCCAATGGCTACCTAACCCCCCAGTCACCACTTCTACCCTCCTTGCTGGCAGAGACATTCCCTCAGTGTCCTTCCACCCCTGCTTGTCCTACTCTTCACCTCCGGCAGCTACCCAAGCCAGTGAAGTAAGCCAGGCAACAGAAAGGGACCGATTCCTAAGAGCCTCTGCCTCTAGGGTCCCCTTCTCATCCCTACAGATGAGGTAACAGGAGACCCTAAAAGGATGCAGGGACACAGCGGGACCCGGAGTCCTCTGACGCTGCAACAGCTTGGCCACTACCCTGGCCACTAGACCACGAGGACTGAACACAGAGACCACATGGCTGTGGCCCCAACAGGAAACTTTTTCTCAGTGCTTTGGTACCCAAAGATAACAGCAAAAACACAGGCCTGCTAGAAGGTAAGAGTTTTGGCCAAGCAGGAGTGGTCACTGAATTTTACCAAGAACTACAAAAACCGCACGCCATTCAAGTCCCTGCCCTGAGACCTGACCAAATCAAACACAGGTCCTGGCAGCCTTGGCCACATTCCTAGGATGTCCCTGGCCCCTCCCAGGCCTGTCTGGAAAGCTCTGGCAGCAACCTGACACAGGCCCCTGACCTTCCTTGGAGCCGTTGCTGAATGCTTCTCTGTCCCTCTGAGGTGTCTGTATCCGCTGCACCCTAGCAGTGTCTGGAGACCTGAGAGTGATCCTTTGACATATAATCACTGGGAGGGAGGCCAGGGCCAGAGTCCCTTGGGCTGCAGGGCAGGGCATGGTCCTAACTCCGATATATGTCTCTTCACGTGGACACTGACGCCCTTCGTCATTTTTCACTTCAGCTTCCTTCTCCATCTAACACACTTCTCTCTCCCTCCCTCCCCAGCTCCTTTCCTTGCTCTCTTCTTTAGTACCAGGAGTAGAACCTGGTATGCTCTGGATCGAGAATGTCCTCAAAGACCTCCTGTGTCCAGAAGCAGGGCTTTGGAAGGTGACTGGATCACAGGGTGCTATAGTCACCAGCGGATTCACCCATGGATGGGTTCGTGGCTGACGTGCCATCAGCAGGGGGCCTGGGTGGAGGAGGAGGGTCAGTGGGCTGACCTCGAAGGGTGTGTTCCTCTCCCCAGCGGCTCTCTGCCCTCTCTGCTTCCTGGCTGCCATGGGTGAGCGGCTCTCCCCCGCTCGGCCCTTTCTGCCACGCTGCTCCTGCTTTGGAGCGGCCAACCACAGACTGAGCCCTCTGAAGCCGGGAGCCAAACAATCCCTCCTCCTTTAAAATGTGCTGGTGGGGATTTTGTCCCGGCACCAGGAAAGTGACTAAGACAGAACCCCTGGGCCCACACATGCTAAATACACGCTCCGCCACTGAGCCACACTCTAGCCCCTGGTCTCTCTAGGACCCCCTCTCCCGGCAACTCCATCACCTCTGTAGGTGGCCCCAGAGCTCAGTTCTTTCGCCACTGCCAGTCATCACTGAACAAAGTCTGTTGTTGGGGCTCTGACAAATGTCCACCTTTATTCCTCTCTGACAGTACAATCCTTATACAGAGGGGAGGGGACACACGGGGAGGTGGTCTCATGACAGTGGCAGAGGCTGTCAGCCCAGGAGTGCCAAGGACTGCCAGGCTACCAGATGCTGGGCCAGGGGCCGGGGTGGATTCCTGCATGGCCGCCAGAAGGAGCCCATTCTGCCAGACCTTCATCTCAGACCCCTGGACCCCAGAGCTGGGGGACAATGAGGAACAAGTAATTGATGCTGTTTAGGTCCCCAGTGTGCCCTAGCAAACTCACATGACTCCCCAACAGAAAAGCAATACTCTGAGCCAGGCCCTGCCCACAATGAAGTGCCCATCCTCCAGGGCCAGAGCCTATCTGTGGCAAGGCCCTCTTTTCCCTGCCCTGCCCTTCCCGGGCTATGCACCCCTGCTCACCTACTGTCACCGGGGTCCTGTCACTGGTCAAGCTAGACAGGCTGCAGTACTCTTCCTTGCCCATACAGAGCATGCCACCCTTTGGAGACGAGGCAGTACATAGCCAACTCCAGGCCCAGCCAGAGCCTGAGTCCCCTGGGCCCTGGTGCAGGTACTGCTAAGCCTCAAGAAGACCCTGCCTGGTGATGGTGTCCTGCTTTACCAGGGCCTGCTGGCCTGCCAGGCAGTCTACACTGGCGCCACATACACACGGGCATCTTGGGCAGCACGGTGCCAGCTGGACCACTGGGCAGCCAAGACCCAAGCCACCAATGTCAGCCACTTGGTGATCTAAGCCTACAGCACCTACCCGGTAAGATCCCCGGACACGGGGCTCAGGGGCCTCCTGGGTGACAAGGCCCCACACGAGCCCTCTGCACCCTGCCTCCCAGGCCCCTGGACATTCCCACTGGCCTCTCCCGGCCCCTGCTTTAGACACCTGCACCACGGCATCCTTTCGTTAATCATCTGTGGGGTCCCAGAGTCCCTGGTGAGTCAAGCCTGCACTGCTTTGGTGGGCCCCCCAGACACAGGCCCCCTGGCCCCAAAGGGACCCAGCCTGCCCACCAGCTACCTGCTGGCATCTCTTCAGCTGCTCTGCCTCCTGCAAGGCCTGCTCCTTCTGCCTCCTCAGCTCCAGCTTCTCCAGGCTCAGCCTCTCCACTAGCTTCCTGGCCTCCTGGAATTTGCACATGAGGAACTCCTTCTCCTCCTTCTGGCTGGCCTGGAAGTGCAGCAGCTCTTCACAGCGCTCACGCAGCATCTGATTGTTCTGTCGGATGGCATCTGTGGGAGAGGGGACAGCAGAGGGGAGGGGATTCTGATGACCTGGCCTGGGTGCCAAGCTGGGCTACCCATTGCAGTACCCTCCCCACAATGCCAGACTGCCATGCCCCTCCAGGACAAATAAGAATCTAAACACACCCCTTCATTTCTTCAAGTCCTCCAAAGTCATTACATGAAAGATCTGCTCCTATGCTTCTGCAGGGCACACTTAATTCATTTGCTTTCAGGTCACTCCAAGGCATACCCGCCCTCCCAGGCCTGCATCTTTGCTGTCTTCAAGACAGGGGGTCCCAATATGCTTGTAGATGGCCACTGACACACTGCCCTAGCCAAGGGCCACCACCCCAAGCTACTGTCCAGGTAGGACATGAGGGCCAACTGAAGACACCAGCTCAGAAAGGAATCCTACATGGAAGGAGTGCTGTCCTCCAAAATGCAGTGTATACTGAGCCCAAATCCCCTAAAAGAACCAAGGCACGAAGCAAAAAAGGCTGTGCTCACACTAATACCCTAGAATCTGTATCTCCACACCCCAATACCTCCAGCCCAGGTGGTTTCCAAGGTGCCTGCAGCAAGTGTCCTGATAATCTAGAAACTATAGGGTTCCTCTGGACACTTGAGGCTTACTCAAGCCAAAAGAAGCAAGCCAGAAGGGGGTCCCCTTCCCTGGGGGCTACAATCCTGAGCTGAGCAGGAGGGGAGGCAATGAGGAGAGGAGACAAGAAGAAGGATGTCACGCTGCAGGGGGGAATGCCTTCAAATACCAGTGCTAGGATGAGGGGGATAGTTCCAGAGACACAGAGGGTGGCCCAGCAAAGTACTCAGTCCCCAAACACCCGTCCAAGGGCAGAAGGTCTCCCGCTGAGGCCAACACCCAGCCGCAGTGGTGACTGATGATGACCCTGATACCAACAATGACATTAATGACCCTGAAATAGTGGCTTCCCAGGGAGCCAGGTCCCTTCTCAGAGCAGGACACGCTCCTCACTGAACTGACAGCACTCACGGATTGCTCAGGCAGAAACACAAGCCTGGCCATGTTTGCCCACTGGGAAAGCCACGCCACCTCCACAAGTCCCTGCTCCTGGAATCCACCTCCCCCTGTGCTCACCCCGCAACCCCCCCCCACCCCTTCTAATGTCCTTCCCCAGTGCTGGCCTGAGACTCCTCCAAATATGCTTCTTGCCTACTCCTCTTACTCAGGATCTGCTTCCAGGGAGCCCCAGCTGAAACCCAGAGAGGCCTGGCCCCCCTCACCTCGGAGTTCATGATTCTCCTCCACACAGCGCTGGAGGGCCTCGGGGCTGCCCTGCTCCGCCTGCAGCTGCAGCATCGCCGGCTTCCCAAGAGAGGACTCCTCGTCCTGGTCCCCTGCTGGGCTGCTGCCAGGCTGCACCATCTCACACAGCTGGTTCTTCCAGGGGTGCCTGCTCATCCACCACAGCAGCACCTGGAAGAGGGGGCAGCAGGGGCGTCGCAGGGAACAGCACCACGTTCCTGCCCTGGCAGGAGCCCTGGGCCCACACTGCAGCAGAGCGGCAATCCCATTGTCTAGCGTAATTAGAGGCTGAAGCAGGGCTTCTGTCGAAGGCAGAGGGTGATGGCTCAGGGAAATATCAGGGAGCTGGGAACCCTGTCCTCTCCGTACACCTCTACACAGAAAGGGAAGATCCTGGCCCTCGCTCAGAGTAAGCAGCTGAGTGGAAGCCCTGAAGACCACCTGTCTATGTCCTCATGCCCCCAAGCGTAACAGTATCTGGAAAAGGGTCTTTTCAGATGCACACAAATGAAAGATCTCAACAAGAGACCATCCTGGGTCATGTGGACCACGACAAGTATCCTTAGAAGACACAGGAGAAAACAGAGAAACACATGGTAAGAGGCCATTTGAAAACAGAGGTAGAGATTGGAGTGACATGACCATGAGCCAAGGAACAATCCAGCCACCAGCAGCTGCGGGGGAGACAATGGAGGACCCTCTCCTAGTCTGCAGAGGAACCATAACCTTGTTCACCCTCTGATTTTGGACTTCTGGTCCCTGGAACTGTGAATTTCTGTTATTTGAAGCCTCCAAACTTGTGGGCATTTCTTGCGGTAACCACAGGAGGCTCGTGCCTAGTAAAAGGCAGACAGAGCCTGAGGCGTGAGGGGTAAGGGGCGCCTGGGGCAAGGAACTGCAAGTGGGAGCTGGGCCGCCAGCCTGAGTGAGCTGAGCTGGCGTTTGCTGGTGAAACAGACAGCATCAGCCTCCGACTACCCAGAGGAGGCCAACCCCAGCGCAGGTATCCAGGAACAGACATGGGTAAGGGAAGAAGGCTCTGACAAGGGTCGACTTGGCCATTCTGCCTGTCAGCACTGCTACCTCCCACTCACACCTAGAGCTGTCCCCAGCAGCTGAGGCAGCTGTCCCCTCCCTCCTGCCACAGGCATGTTCCCCCCTTGTCTTCCAGAACAGCCCAATACCCCGGAGTCCCTCCCACTCAAGCCTTTTCAACAAGCTCCCATCCCTTCGTGTTGAGGTGCCCCGGGCTCTGTTATGAGGCCTCTTCTCTAACTACATTCACTCCTGCAGTAATTCCATCCAGTCTCACAGCTTTACCTCCAATCTTAATGCCAATAATGCCCCAAAGTAGACCACTCCCTGAGCTCCGGACTTACACAGCAAACTCAACATGTCTACTTGGAAATCTATTTTTTTTTTGGTACCGACAATCGAACTCAGGACCTTGTGCTTGCCAGGCAGGCACTTGTGCTGCTGAGCTATATACCCGGCCCTACTTGGAAATCTAAACTAACTTCCCAGGGCTGAACGCATGCGTGAGTAGTACAGTGCTTGCGTGGCACGTGTATAGCCCTGGCTTCTGTCCCCAGCACTGCAAAAGAAGAGAACTACCCTAAAACTCAACAGCGCCCAAAAGCCAGTTCTACCCAAAGCCTTCCAGCTGAAGGCAAATCCATTCTCCTGTCATCAAGACCAAAAACTTGCAAGCTCTCCTTGACACATCTCTCTATCTCCATCTCCCAGCGCACACACAACCCATCAGAAATTCTGCAACATTAATACTTTAGACACCTACATGGTACTGTGGTCATATTGTTTAAAGTCCATTCTAATAAAGAGGCATACCAAAATACTTAAACATGTTATCTGAAACTCACTTCAAAATAAAAGGGCAATCCCTGAGTATACACACAAAGGAAATGTGATATGAATGCTCACAGGACCATTACTCAGAGCAGCCAAAGACAGGAAACAATCTGAATGTCAGCAACTCACTTTCCAAGTATATCCACCTGCTACAGAACAAACCTTTCAGACACTGTGCTAAGAGAAACAAGTCACAAAAGACCACGCATTGTACAATTCCACTTGCAAGAAATGTCCACAATAGACAAATCCAGAGACACAAAGTAATCTAGAGGTTATTAGGGCAATGTGGTCAGTGGGGGTGATAGCTAAAAATACAGGGTTTCTTTTGAGAGGGATGAAAATGTTTTGGAATCAGTGGTGATGGCTGAACACCCTTGTGAACGTGCAAAGTCATTAAATTGTACACTTTAAACAGGAGAACTGCACAGCATGCACGATATAGCTCTAAAGAGGTGTTGTTGAAGATAATGGGAAAGGACTGAGGGGTATAAAGTAAACAAAATTAGCCAGTAACTGCTAAAGCTAAGAGATGGGCAATGGGATTTACTAATCTTCCTACTTTTGTACGTTTATTAATTCGTCAAGAATAAAATGGCAGGGCTAAGGATGTGGGTCAGTGGTAGAGCTCTCCTGCCTTGCATGCACAAGGCCCTGGGTTCGATCCCCAGCACCACGAACTCCCCCCTAAAAAGGATAAAATGCCAGATTACTACCATCACCTAGATTGCCGCAATAACTTCGTAACAGAGCACCCTGTTTCTACCCTTGCTCCTACAGTCTACGGTCCCCACCGCGGCCAGAAAGATCTGTCTACACCGTAAATCGGGTCCCATCCCTTCTTTACCACGAGTGCTCTCACGTTTCCACAAGGCCCAACACCATCTGTGCTCCCACTCCTTTCTCTCAACTACTCTGCCCTCGTGCTCTCTTCTCCAGCTCTAAGCCCTCCTTGCAGCTCCTAGAACATACGGGGCATCCCATTCATTCTCGGGTCGCAAAATGGCCTGAGGAAGGACAGGTAGCTACCAACCGTTTTGCAAAGAGAGCTAAATGAAGCGCGTGAACAGAGGATACGTTCGAACTGGAAGAGGTATGCCACTAGGGGTACGGGCTGACCGGGCAGCGGCGGCGGCGGCGGCGGCGGCGGCGGCGGCAGCGGGAGGGGCACAGTCTCACTCGCTGCCCGAACAACTTGAGTCCCGAATCGGCAGGTCTATGCTCTAGGCGAGCGCTCTGCCATCCAGCCACACCCCAGCCCCTGGGCCGATGCTCCGTGAGAGCACAGCTAGGAGGAACCGGCTGGGGCCCAAGCAGGAGGAGGGAGCTTGGTCATCCGGAGGCGTCTTAGACCCAAGAAGGGGACCACACCTGTCAGCAGAGTCGGTCAGACGTGAGGAAGGCGGGAGCGGCGGGCTGCGAGCCCTCCTAGGGGCGCGGAGCTCCCGAGAAAGTCCAGGCTCAGCAGTAGCGCCCCACTTCTCCGCCTTGGAAACCCCCGCTTCCGGCTTCCGGTGTCGCAGCCGTGGGATCCGGAAGTAAAACACACAAGCCCCGACCCCAGGAGTATAGGAGGCTGCCGAGAGGTGCGAGGCCCCCTCGTCCTGCTCCAAAGAGAGCCGGAGCCCGCCGGCCTCGGCTAGTGCACAGGGCGCTGCCCAGTAATAAACACCCTCTACTTTCTAGGGCGTCACCACCTACACAGCCCCGTGTCCCACGCAGCCCCATCCAACCGCAGGATGCTCGCCGCCACCCCCGTAAGAGCCAGGACAAAGCTCAGGAGGCCCCGCCCACAAGCCGAAGGGAATACTAGAGGGGGCGTGGTCACGCCACCGGCGGAAGTGGGGCCTTCCGCAAGAGCGAGGACCACCAGGGGGCGAGCGGGAAAAACAGGCTGTAATGTGAGGCCCGCCTGGCCTCAGGGACGCGGGAGGGCCTCAAGGAGCAGTACGCGTGCCCGCAAGGAATGGCGGTCGCGGGGCAGCGGGGAGAGCGGGCGCAGAGTGGCGCGGCCGCCCACACAGGTGCCTGAGAGGCGAGACAGCCCGCGCTCGAGGACGCCCGGGGATGCGCGCGCACCTGCCCTCTCCCCCAGCTCGCACGCTCCAGAGGAAGTGTGGAGACCCCACCCCCGCGCCTCGCCTCAGGCCCCGCCCCCGCGCGCCTCGCCTGAGGCCAGTCAGCTCAGCCTCGGCGCCCGCCCCCGCCTGTTAAATGGGCCGGCGGGCGCAGCCCCCGGAAACTGCGGCGCACTCGGGAGCTGTGATC